CAAATTCTACGACTTCAAGGGTGATGGACTGATTACATCGTCTTCACATCTCTACTGTTCCTGCCTACTTTCTGTATTCGACTGAAGAAGCCTACTGTGTAGGCGAAACGTTTCGGAATAAAGTTGCCTAACTGTTGCCTTTGTGTCTTACCTACCAACACAATTGTAAAGAAACCACGGAACGGGTGAGATTTAAACCCATGGCCGAGTGATTTACGCACTGGTACGGGGTTTTAGGATTCACTCGCCATAAGTTCAAACCCAGCCTGTTCCGTGGTTTTTTTCCCATCTGCACAGGAGACTATATTCATTTATAACGGCACAAAACATACTCAACCCCTGCCAATTTGGATTCAGGAAAAATAAAAGCACTAATGATGCAGACTGGTTATAAATGACCATAATTTTTAAAGGGGTGGACCGGTAAGCCAGCGGAAGGCCTCGGTCAGATGACCAAAAGCTCCAAAGGCGGGTCATCATCTGACTAAGACCCGCGTCAGGAAACATTTGTCCTGTTTCCTGACGAACCTTACCTAACCTAACCTAATGATGCAATCATAAAAATGCTAGATCTGCTTTACACAGCATTGGAAAATAAGGAATATCCACTAGGAATTTTTATTGACCTAAGAAAAGCTTTTGACACAGTAGACCACGACATCCTACTCCACAAACTTGACCATTACGGTATAAGAGGCCATGCGCTTGCTTATTTCAAATCTTACCTTACTAATAGGTATCAGTATGTCACCATTAAAGACACAGCATCAACAACACGGCCACTTGATACTGGAGTTCCGCAGGGAAGTGTCCTTGGTCCCCTGCTCTTCCTCATATACATCAATGAGCTTCCAAATGTATCCCAACACCTGAAACGCATTCTCTTTGCTGACGACACGACTTATGTCATCTCTCACCCTAATCTTGCCACCCTCAACACCATTGTTAACGAGGAGCTGATCAAAATATCGACTTGGATGACAACCAGTAAACTTACGCTTAACACTGACAAAACCTACTATATTATGTTTGGTAGCAGAGCAGGAGATGCACAAATTAACGTTAAGATCGACAACACTCTAATTACCAGACATAATGAGGGAAAATTCCTAGGCCTATACCCTGACAACAACCTGAATTTCAGCACCCATATCCAACACATAACCAAAAAAGTATCCAAAACGGTTGGGATCCTCTCCAAGATACGATACTACGTGCCGCAAAATGCCCTTCTCACACTATACCACTCACTTATTTATCCATACCTCACCTATGCTATTTGTGCTTGGGGATCAACTGCAGCAACACACCTAAAGCCAATAATAACCCAACAAAATGCTGCAGTAAGAATAATCACTAAATCCCATCCCTGGCAACACACCCCTCCACTCTTCATAGATCTAAACTTACTCCCTGTTCAGTACATCCACACTTACTACTGTGCAATCTACATCTACAGGACCTTAAACTCCAATATCAACCTTGACCTAAAACGCTTTCTTGATAGTTGTGACAGAACCCACCAGACACAAACATCTCTACGACATTCCCCGTGTCCGACTAAACCTTTACAAAAATTCAATGTATGTCAAATGCCCTAAAATCTGGAACACCTTACCTGAGAACTCTAGAACTGCAGACACATTCATCACCTTCAAAACTACCATTAGAAAACATCTTATCTCCCTGATACACCCCTTCAACTAACTACACGAATACCACCTGGTGGTTCACACTTACACTCACTCACCCATTTGACCATAAACAGAAATATTAATCTCATTCTTAAAATAATGAATCCTGTGATACTCCAATACTGAGACTATGTACTGTGCCAAAACAAAAGCATTCACATTGCTAAACTCACAAACTAGTATTTAGTCACTTAGCCATAATACCAACTTACCTCATAATTTGTAATATTTTAAAATTAAGATTTAAACTAAGTATGCCCGAAATGCCAAGCCATGCTAGGTGTTCTAGTGGTACACTCTGTAATCATTATTTTACTACATGTAAACCACTCAATAACCAAATTCTGTAAACTCAGCATTGTAATCCTTATAGAGAATAAACTTTGAATTTGAATTTGAATATGAAGGAGTGGAGCTGATGGTAAAGGAAGAAGTGTGGAAGGTGTGTTTATGAGCTGAATTCTAATTCTTATCCATTACAATGGAACTTATTCACGGGGTAAGAACCAGGTATCACTCGCAACTGAGCTGCCGTCTAGCTCACACATGCTGACACTCAGAGAATCGAAAATACTGTCTTCTTATTGCATAAAGTGCCAAGAAATAAAATGTATGTAGATTAATGCTATATTCTTTCAACTTGATAATAAAATAGCAGGTGACCCATCCCCCAATATAGAATAGATATGTAAATAGAGACCTGGAGATATTGTTTGGATACATCTGTTAAATGCACGTAAAATGATTTTCAATATATTGATATCCTGGTGACCGGCTACAAGCCAAAAAGCGGGTGATAAAATACCGTAATTCAGGGAAGGGCTTTTAACTTTGGTAACCTGCTGTTACATAACCTGTTGCTAGGTAACTTGTTGCTAGGCAACCTGCTGCTAGGCAACTTGTTGCTAGGTAACTTGTTGCTAGGCAACCTGCTGCTAGGTAACCTGTTGCTAGGCAACTTGCTGCTAGAAAACCTTCTGGTAGGCAACCTGCTGCTAGGCAATCTGCTCCTAGACAACCTGCTGCTAGGCAAACTTCTCCACCAAGCCCAGCCCTCACGACGCCTGACCCGAACTTACGAGAAGCTTCCTGAATAAACTCGGTAAGCTGGAGAATGCTCCGGGGGGTCAACGCTCCCGCCGGCCCGGTCCATGACCAGGCCTCGAGTAAGCAATAATTTTATAAATAAACTGAGTCATAAGTGACTGCTGGCGGAGTTAGTTTAACATTTTTATTACGCTGCCCATACCCAGGGTGTGGGCGGAAGCCAAAAGAGATTTCAGAAGCAAATAATGGGTCCAGGAACTGGGTCGCAAAGTTTTGATAGCTGAACAAGTTCAAGTGGTAATGAATTATTTACATGTGTATATCTGGTTGCAATCGTATTATGTTTGCAGACATGAAATAGGTCACAAAAATGTTATAAAAATATTACTTTATATTTTGGAAAAGTATGCTTGTAAAAAAGTTTAAGTGTTTATGCGTTATTTAGAGTGGGTAAAGTCCAGATATTTTTTAAGAGTGATAGGTAATATGTAACTCTTGATAAAATACTTTGACATTTCTTGAACATTTCCGAGTGAGTTGTCTCTGAATTCATTAATTTTATCGCATTCCAGCACATAATAACGCAAGGTGTGGTAATTGTACATCTAGCAATTGTACAATTGTGACAGTTGTACATCTGGCAGTTAGTTACGTCTACATCATTTGGTGGTGGTGATATAATCTCGCCGAGATACTGGTAACCCAGCATCCAAATGTCTGCTTATTTTGTTGGATGTACCACAGACATGTGGTTCCTCCTGCATGATTATAGATGCATTGACTTGTGTCAGTCTCCCTCAGTCTTGAGTCACTGAAATTCACTTGAAGTTCTTTTCATATAACTGGTCTCCAACAGCTGACAGTCCTAGATTGGAATCTACTCTCTCTTTGCATCTGTCTTGTACCTGAAGGTTAAGGTGAGATGGAATCCAGAAGGTGCACTCTGACTCCACTGTCCATAATCCTATCATACCTGTATCTGGCTTCTGATACAAGCATGCCGCAATTGATACTCAGGGAGTTATGAACATTTATGGGTGATAAAGAATAAGTTACAGTTCTCACCTTGATACATGGGCGCATCTGAGTGCGAGGAGTATGGAAAATAATTTAGTTTGAACGGTAGAAGCCCAGTTATTGATTCGTACTCCAATTTCTTTATGAGAGCCATCACTTTGTATGACAACAACGGCACTACTAGTTGCACCACGGATTGGTAAACAGAACCATCAGTATACATAATTTGTGAAAGCGTGTGTTGTGTGACTAAGGCATCTATACAGCTTAAGGCATCCTGGTTGCCTTCAATTGTGATTTAAGAATTTTTTGGGGAGGGGGGAAAGGATGGGGTACTGGTTTGGAATAGGTAATTTTCTATGGAGCGGGGAAGTGTCGCTGTTGCCATACTTGACATAACTCATGTATCTGGTTCACGTGGAGGTCATTTCCAGTTTTTATGATCCATGTGGAGGAGTGTTTACCAGCGCTGAAGAAAGTTTGGAGATCTGCTCAAGGGTTTGAATGGGTTTGCCTGCGCATATTGACCCCAGTGAAGACATTTCTTTCAGCGACACGGTCTCTGATGTTTGGCATATCAAGTTCTGTCCGTATGTTTAGAATTTTGGCAGTACGAGGGCTCCTAGGATGATCATCATTGCTCATATATATCTTATATCCTAAGCGTGGGATGACTGGCATTAGCATGGACGTGAGAGTCAATGTCATTCAAGTAAAGAACCTTCCCGACGGCTTGGCTGTAGACCTGCTATAATACAATACTGAAAAAAAGTTGTCTAACATAAAGATTTGTTCTGTATTACGTAGTTATATTTTTCTGTAGTTAAATATGATAAACATTATTACCAAAGAAGCATGTGTATAAGACTGGTGTGAAATAAAGGATCAAGTATTTAAAAGTATTTCATCAATACAATCATCAATAACTATTTTGTAAAGTATTTTTAGTGAAGAATGACCAAGAAACTAATGTGTAGCTTGCTAATAGTGTTTCTCTGCTGCAGACCTTACGAAGAACCTCATGATGCATGAGTTGCGTGGTTGATGTTGCTGGGTATCGCGGCCAGGGCACAGACAAAATACATCTAGGATAAGACCCCTTTCCCAGGACACAACCCCTTCCCTAGGACAATCCCCACACGCCATAACTAACCCAAATAAGAGTACCTTAGTAAATGCGCAAAGTAGGACTAGGAAAAAAGTCCCTAGTTTAAGGTTTGATTAAGATGGCGTTAGTTAGTCCCAAGTGAGACTCACCTCATCGGCTGTGGTGGCGTCTGTGGTGTGTAGCAAGATCTCCGTGGAGTCGGTGTCCATCAGCATGGGGTCGTCTGAGGGGCGCGCTGAGAAGAAAGTGCTATTACTAGTTCTCGAGTCCCGTCCACCCTCGCTCAGCGCTTCGCCCCTTACAACATTGGCTGGTGCAGAAGCTTCAGATGGTGCTGCTGCAGGAATTGGTGCAGATGCCTGAGGTGCTACAGCTGCAGGAGCTGGTGTAACTTCAGGGGCTGATGTAGGAGTGGATTCTATTGCTGTAGCATTGTGACTAGCGGACGCTGACACTAATAAGGGTTGACTTGTTGATGGTGCTGCCATAGCTGAAGGGTGATTAAATGATAGAACTTGCGAAGATTGTACAGCTGTTGTATCTGACTTGGATATTCCTGTCACAGGTGCGGGTGGGGGGTCGACTTTTGATACTACTGCCAAATTTGACGCAATATCAGTGGGTGCTGTGGATATCTGTGAAGCTACAGTGGCATTTTCTGGTTGAGATCCCGGAGCCGGAGTGGTCTGAGAGGTGGTCGCTACTGTTGGCAGCGGGGAGACGATTATACTCGATGTGGAGGCAGGAAAAACTGTTTCTAGCATAGATGGAGTGGCAGAAGAGGAATGAGAAACATTACATTCTGGTGGACCTTGAAGAACAGAGTCAGGGGATTCCATCACTACTCTGTGAACAGATATATCTATTGTTGAGTCTGTCTTAGCGGTTTCAAGAGAAGGAAGAGAACAAACAGATCCTAGTAAAAGCCCACGATCTAGGAGACTAAGGCTTCATGTTGATCTGGTTGGTCTGCTTCTTGTTTATTTGAATCCTCGAGGAGCATGCTAACGTCAGAGGGCGGCACAGGCATGCACCCTTCAGTTGGTGTCAAGTCACCACTGGAATGAACAATTTCAATTGATGGAGAAGGAGCGGAACTGTGCACTGGTGTACACTCGACAGACAATTTCGTTTTGAAAACATCTACTGATTTTTCTAATTTTCTGAAAGCATAGGTCAATTCTGAACTTAATCTCGAAGATTCATCGAACGCCATGTCGGACTCAACACTTTGTCTGTCACTAACATTATCTAGCTCTTTCTGATCAGCAAGAGAGCCCTTATCACTTATGCTGTCAATCTTGACTTTTCTTCGCTTTCTCTTGGGAGGTATCTTTTTGTAAACAACGACGTCTGAAGGAGCGGTCGTGAAAGACGCCTTGTCCGTGGCATCAGAGGCACCATCAATGGTGGTGCCGAGGGCGCGGTGCATCTCCAGGATCCACTCCTGTGTCTTCCCAATATCACTTGGTTTGCTGTCTGACGAAGCTCTGCTCTTGGTGCGTGGAGGAGGTGTGGGTCCCCTGAGTGTACGCTCTAGGGAAGATTCTCTCTTGTGTCCGCGCACAGAAACGCTGTCAGAGGGCGCCAGGCTGTGGATGTCCATCAGGTGCGAGGTACCAGTTGGCGATGGCGAGCGAAGTGATACAGGAGATATAGACCCACGGGACGGGTGAGAAATGCGAGAGTCGAGTCGCTGCGAGTCCAGTGTGGCTGGGATGGAGTCTTGCCTGGATGATGTTCGATCACTTCCCTCATTCCCGCTCCAAGAAGTTGGGGAGACAGGCGGCGAAGCTGGTGGCCACACACATCCGCCCAAATAATATGGGTATGGATAAGGATAGGGCACGCAGGGCATGTAAGGATACCAAGGGTAAGGTCTGGGTGCTGCAGTCATAACCTGTACGTCTTGTTTTCGTCGGTTTTTTCTTGGTGGTGGCCGTCGCTCGTTGAGAGGAAAACTGCCGACTGGGACGACACTCATGGTGTCGGGAGTCGCAGGGAAGGTGAGGTTCCCTGTGTCTGGGTGTCGTCGCTGCACTTTCACTCTCTGGATCTCTACTCTTCCATCGTCATCGTTGTAGATCCGTCTGAGGGTATCCACTGTGTACTCGTCGGAGGGCATCGCCGCCGTGCTGGTGCTGGTGGTCATGGTGGATGCAGGTTGCTGCGTAGACCAGGGCGGGGTGGGCGCTGGGTATCCCATGGGCGGGCTCCAGGACCACTGGGTGGGGGCTCCTGAGGGCGGATGTGCGGGGAACCAGGGCTGTGGCGGTCCCTGGTACCCCACCATAGGGTAGAAGTGGGCAGGGTACTGCTGAGGCATCATGTTCCCCGCCCCCACCCGCCCACCACCCCGCGCTGACTCACCTTCAGAAGACATCTGCGTGTAAAAGTTAAAAAAGGGTATTCCTTATAATAATTAATCAGAAATTATTCAAATTATTTTTATACTGTTATATATATATAACAGTATAAAATTCACACAGAATATACGTGTATTTGCGGCGAAGCGCAAGCAGACCAATACGGTCTACATGGTCTTAACTGTTCCAAAACCAAGGGCTGGCATGCAAGACACAATGAGGTCAACGACATCATTAAGAGAACCCTTGCTACAGCTGGATGCCCAGCCGAGAGGGAGCCCCGATCACTAGCAGCCAACAATACCAACAGCCCAGCAAACCACCCCGACGGGATCACCATCTATCCTTGGAAGAATGGCAAGCTCTTAGCATGGGACTATACCTGTGTTCCACACTGGCTGACACCTATATCCATCACAGTGTTGAGCGACAGGGAGGAGCTGCCGACCACAGGGAGGAGTACAAGATCAGCAAGTACAGGGACATAAGCCAACAGTATCAATTTGTCCCAGTGGGATCAGAGACTTTGGGATCATGGGGAAAACATGCCACACGTTTCCTTAAAGAATTGGGTTCCAGACTCATTGACACCACCAGGGACCCAAGGGCAGCCGCTTTCATGTTCCAGCGCCTCAGCGTAGCCATCCAGAGGGAAAATGCTTGCTGCATACTTGTCTCGCATCCAGCCTCGGAGGAGCTGGAGGAAATTCATGATCTTTGATATATTGTGCCATTGTATTCATGTTTGTTTTTTCTGTAAATGTATTCTGTTTATTAATAAATGTTCATATAGAATATAAAATATATAGGAGGTGGTAGGAGAAGAAAATATTCAAACAGCTCTGGGGAGAACCTTGAGTTTTCCCTGAGGTACGTTTATTGTCTTCTCTGAGGATGAGGGTCCCCATTCCAGCTATAGAGGTGGTACTTCCCTATATATATAATATATATATATATATATATATATATATATATAATATATATATTATAAGGGAACTGTTTGGAGGAAGTCCCTAGAGTGATGTGCGCTCACAGCCTGGAGACGGGCAATCTCCCTATCTGATGTTGCAGCCCTGAGCATGTTGGCAAGCACCTTTTCAGCGATCGGGCCATCCCAGCTTGACTGTTTGTGAGCCAGTGCTGCACTAGGGTTTGGTGCTGGAGCAGCAAGAGTCTCCCATTCAGTGATGGCACTGGCATAGCTAGGATCTTCTATTCCTGCTGAGTAGCTGAGGGTATCAAGAAGAATTTGTCTTATCAACTCGTTTGATGCTATGGAAGAGGATAGGAAAGCTGGTAGAGCAATTTGGGAGGATCTGCGTACTCCTAGCCTCCCAAGCCTGACCGGAAGTGAGGCTTGCAACCACTGTCCATCTTCAAGGGAAAGATTCAATACACTCTCTAGCATGGTCTTAAGGAGAGAGTCATATTCCTTGAGTTTTGGACTGCTGAAGGCTGGGGAGCATCTCAGAAAGTAGGTAAGTTTTGGGATTGACAGGCCCCTGGTGAGTAGGTAGAAGGCATCATGTGTGTCAATGTCTTTCATCCTGCTTTCCATCGTCCGGAGGTCTGAGACTTTTTTTCTAGGATCAGATCGATGGTCATTGGACCCAAGAGGAGCACCAAGGAGAGTGCTATTGGCTGGATCAATGGCTCGTGCTCCTGGTAAAACGGCGCTAATATTCTGGATCATCTGTTGATTGGTAGAAACTATTTCCAATTTGGTGGGGTATACCTGAAGAGTGTTTCGGGGTTCAACGCCCCCGCAACTCGGTCTGAGACCAGGCCTCGTTGTGGATCAGGGTCTGATCAACCAGGCTGTTACTGCTGGCCGCACGCAAACTGATGAACGAACCACAGCCCGGTTGGTCAGGTACTGACTTTAGGTGCTTGTCCAGTGCCTTCTTGAAGACAGCCAGGGGTCTATTGGTAATCCCCCTTATGTATGCTGGGAGGCAGTTGAACAGTCTTGGGCCCCGGACACTAGTATAAATCCATGCAATGAATTTTCGTTTAAACAGACATCTCCTTTCCTTTGTAATTCAGTATAACACAGTAATAGGAGGGTGAAGGGGTATTTAAACGAAAATCCATTATACAGACATGTCCGATGTAGAGGGACCGACAAGGTACACATTACTGATAACGGACATGTACCCATTCAGCAGACTTGGTCCGTTAAATGGAAAGCCTAAACACACACACACACACACACACACACACACACACACACACACACACACCACACACACACACACACACACACACGCACACACACACACACACATGCATGAGGATTGTAGCGGACTTAATCAGTTGAATTAAGCCTAAATCTGGCCAAATATTTTGTCCCTTGCTCTCGAAATGTTACAAAGAGATCTATTTAATCATCGAGGTTTTACTAATATATGTTCAACCTCGCTCTCTCTCTCTCTCTCTCTCTCTCTCTCTCTCTCTCTCTCTCTCTCTCTCTCTCTCCTGTGTGTTGCAAAACATTCTCACTCGCACCAAAATCCACGTAATTAAAGACAGCACAAAATAATTCCACAGCTGCACTAAAACAAAATCTCGGTATTAACACACATTATAAATGTAAGTATTTGAAAGGTTGCAAATAACATTTCCACTACATTATTCACTACTATAAATGTGTCCTAAAGTCAGAAAATATTTATTACTGACAAACTAAAACTTATCAGTAAAAAATCAATTCAACTCACATTTATCAGTTCGAAGGTTTCAACAATATATTCTTGTTATACATTCTGCGGGCGTGTGTGGGCGTAGGGGTTCCTCCGCTCCTGCAAGTGGGCGTGGCCTCCAGGAGCCCCACTCCCCATAGTGGGTGACCCCCGCCCACCCCCTGAGCACCTGACCTGGTGGAACCTTTCTGGGTGACGGGTCTCACTCACGCACTCTAACTGTAAGTAACAAAACTAACATCAGCAGGTCTTAATGAACTTTACACTAAAACAATATATATATATATATATAATATATATATATATATATATATATATATATTATATATATATATATATATATATATATTATTTTATATAATCACCGCGCCGAACTCCCACCAAGGGCAGGTGGCCCGAAAAAGCAAAAACTTTCACCAATCATTCACATCCGCACTTCTTGCAGAGCAGGGTGCTTTATATCAACATACAGTTTTTAACTGCAAAATTATCACCCCCTTAGAGTGCAAGGCACTGTGACTTCCATACTCCAAGGACTCAAGTCCGGCCTCCGGTTTCCCGAATCCCATCATAAATGTTACTTGCTGCACACTCCAACAGCACGTGAAGTATTAAAATCATATTTGTCCCATTGCATCCTACAAACACGGCTCACGCATGCCTGCTGAAGTCCAATCCCCCGCACACAAAACCATCCTTTACTTACACCCCATCACCTCCAACCCTTCTTGGAGGCCGACCATACCCCGCCTTCCTCCAAACTTCAGACCTGATACACTCTTGAAGTCATTACTTTTCGCTCACATTCTCTCTACGTTTCCCGAACCACCTCAACAACTTACCTCACCCTCTGGACACCAGTTTTGGTAACCTGCGCACCTCCTCCAACTTCCAACTACAATTCTCTGCATAATCACACCACACATTGCCCTCAGACATGACATCTCCCACTTCGCCTCCCAGCCTTCTCCTCGCTGCAACAATTTACATTCACCCACGCATTCACCCCATTTTAAGAGCGTTGTAAAACTATACTCTCATACATCCCCTCTTTGCCCTCCAAGGACAAAGTTTTTGTCTCCACAGCCTCCTCTAATGCACCACTCACTCTTTTTCCTCATCAATTCTATATTCACCCCATCTTCAATAGACACCCATCCGCGACACTCCTCCCTAATATCTGAATACCTCACTCCCTCATACTCTCTACCCTCCAATCTGTAATTCCAATCTTTCATCACCTAATCTTTTTGTTTAATCCTCATAACCTTACTTTTCCTTATCACCTTTAATTTCTCATCTTTTGCACACCCTACAATTCATCCCAATCCGCAACTTCTCTTCAGAATTCCCAAGAGCACAGTGTCAATCAGCATAAAGCACTTGACAACTCCCACTTTGTGTTGATTATATTATTTTTAACTCCACGCCTCTTGCCAAGACCCTCGCATTTACTTCTCTTAAAACCCCCTCTTAAATATATTAAACAACCACGGTGGGACATCACACATCCTTGTCTAAGGCCTACTTTTACGGGAAAAAAAATTTCCCTTTTCCTACTACTCTAACTTAAACCTCACATCCCGTAAAAACCTTCACTGCTTCAGTAACCACCCCCTACACCTCACTTGCAACATCGCCAATTCCCCCCCCTATCCACCCTGTCAACGCCTTTTCCAAATCCATAAATCCCACAAAGACCTCTTTACCTTATCAAAAATACTTTCACTTATATTTTTTTCACTGTAAACCCCTGGTCCACCACCCCCTCCTTTTCCTAAAGCCTCCTTTTTTCATCTGCTATCCTTTTCCGTTTTATCTTAATTCTTTCAATTAAAACTCTACCATACCTTTACCGGGTACACTAAACGATTACCCCCCTATAATTTTTGCACTCTCTTTTTTCCCCTTTGCCTTTATCAAAGGAACTATGCATGTCTCCCCAACCCCTGGGTCCCTTTTCCCCTTTCCATATTTTTATTAAACAATTGCCCCAACCCCCAAAACTATACCCCCCACCTGCTTTTAACATTTCTATCTTTATCCCATCAACCCGCTGCCTTCCCCCCTTTATTTTACCTACTCCCTCACGAATTTTCCCCCACACTCACAACTGGCCCTTTCCCACCCCTACAAAAGTTATTCCTCCTTGCCCTATAACGAAATCACAGCTTCCCTATCTTCATCAACATTTAAAACCCCAAAAATATTCCTTCCATTTTTCCCAATACCTCTAACCCCCATTAAACTCTCCTCTCCTTTTTTTTAAACTGACAAATCCTTTTGTTTCTAGGTTTTTCTTAATTGTTAATCTCACCCCAAAAAACTTTTCTTATTTTTAACAAAATTTGTTGATAACATCCACCCCCTCTCTCATTTGCTCTCTTTTTTTCATTGCTTCACCACTCTCTTAAAACCCCCTTTTCCCTTTTTCTCCATAACTCTTCCCTCCTTGCATCACTTCACTTTGTAAAACTTCTCATATCTAACTTTTTCTCCCTTTTTTACTCTCTTTACATCATCATTTCCACCAATCGCTCCTCTTCCCCCCTGCACCACTTTCCTGAACCACAAACTTCTGCTGAACCTCAACACTACATTTTTTTAAAACCACCCCTACCCCTTTGACCCCTTTTCCCATGCTCTCATTTGCCCTCTTTCCCCCAATAGCGTTTATATCTTACCCTAAGCCTCCCTTTTTGTTTTAAAAACCCTTTACCCCTCTCTTTCCTGAGCTTTTATTCCCTTGTTTCCCTCTACCTTTTACCTTTAGTGTAGCTACAATAGAAAGTGATCTAATTTTCTGTGGCCCCCTCATAAAATGTACTCCTGAAGTCCTCAACAGTCTTTTACTACCAATACATAAACCAACAAACACTGTCATTTTGCCCTACTCATATCGTTAACTTATTTTCCTCTTTTCTTAAAATATGTATTACCTATAACTAAACCCCTTTCTAAAACAAATTTTCAATCAAAGGGCTCCCATTATCATTTACACCTGGCACCCCAAACTTACCTACCACACCCTCTCTAAAAGGTTTTCACCTACTTTTAGCATTCAAGTCCCCTACCACAATTACTCTCTCACTTGGTTCAAAGGCTCCTATACATTCACTTAACATCTCCCAAAATCTCTCTCTCTCCTCTGCATTCCTCTCTTCTCCAGGTGCATACACGCTTATTATGACCCACTTCTCGCATCCAACCTTTTACTTTAATCCACATAATTCTTGAATTTACACATTCATATTCTCTTTTCTCCTTCCATAACTGATCATTTAACATTACTGCTACCCCTTCCTTTGCTCTAACTCTCTCAGATACTCCAGATTTAATCCCATTTATTTCCCCCACTGAAACTCTCCTACCCCCTTCAGCTTTGTTTCGCTTAGGGCCAGGACATCCAACTTCTTTTCATTCATAACATCAGCAATCATCTGTTTCTTGTCATCCGCACTACATCCACGCACATTTAAGCAACCCAGTTTTATAAAGTTTTTCTTCTTCTCTTTTTAGTAATTGTATACAGAGAAGGGGTTACTAGCCCATTGCTCCCGGCTTTTTTAGTCGCCTCATACGACACGCATGGCTTACGGAGGAAAGATTCTTTTCCACTTCCCCATGGACAATAGAAGAAATAAAAAAGAACAAGAGCTATTTAGAAAAAGGAGAAAAACCTAGATGTATGTATATATATATATGCATGTGCGTGTCTGTGAAGTGTGACCAAAGTGTAAGTAGGAGTAGCAAGATATCCCTGTTATCTAGCGTGTTTATGAGACAGAAAAAGAAACCAGCAATCCTACCATCATGCAAAACAATTACAGGTTTTTGTTTCACAGTCATCTGGCAGGACGGTAGTACTTCCTGGGTGGTTGCTGTCTACCAACCTACTATATATATATATATATATATATATATATATATATATATATATATATATATATATATATATATATATATTATATATATATATATATATAACACATGCGACTAGCCGAGGACTCGAATCCATGTCGTTTTGGCCCGCCTCATGGTGAGCGAAAATCACATGATGCTCTAACCCACAGGACCACGCAATCCTACAAGAATTACGCACCCAGCAGAGCTAGGTATTTTACCGTGATCCGAGGACATACGGTGGTGTGGGTGCCTCTGAGATAATTTCATTCTACTCCCCGTTTGGTGTACTAACATACTCGTGGAGGCTAGTACACCAAACGGGGAGTAGAATGAAATTAACTCAGTCACCCACACAACCGTATATCATCGGATCACAGTAAAATACCTAGCTCTGCTGGGTGCGTGATTCTTGTAGGATTGCGTGGTCCTGTAGGTTAGAGCATCATGTGTGATTTTCGCTCACCATGAGGCTGGCCTAAACGGCATAGGTTAGAGTCCTTGGCTACTCGCAGTGTTGTTATTGATCAAATACCAAGAAAGGAAAAAAATTTCATCATTCAACACTTTCACCATCACTCATACATAATCACTGTCTTTGCGGAGGGGCTCAGATACGACAGTTTAGAAGTCCCTCCAAACTGTCAGTATCCCAAACCCCTCCTTTAAAGTGCAGGGATTGTACTTCCCATTTCCAGGACTCAAATCCGGCTAGCCGGTTTCCCTGAATCCCTTCACAAAATATTACCCTACTCACACTCCAACAGCCCGTCATGTCCCAGAAACCATTAGTCTGCATTCACTCCTATCTAACAAGCTCAAGCACACTTGCTGAAAGTCCAAGCCCCTCGCTCACAAAACCTCCTTTACCTCCTCCATCCAACTTTTTCGACGACCCCCCCCCCTTCCTTTCCTTACAGATTTACACGTTCTCCCAGTCATTCTACTTTGTCCCATTCTCTCTAAATGACCAAACAACCTCAACAACCCCTCTTCAGCCCTCTGACTTCTACTTTTAGTAATTCCACACCTCCTACTAATTTCCACACTACGAATTCTCTGCATAATATATACACCACACATTGCCCTTAGACACGACATCTCCACTGCCTCCAGCCTTCTCCTCGCTACAGCATTTACAACCCAAGCTTCACACTCATATAAGAGTGTTGGTACCACTATACTCTCGTACATTCTCTTCTTTACCTCCATAGATAACGTATTTTGTCTTCACAAATACCTCAATGCACCACTCACCTTTTTTCCTTCATCACTTCTATGGTTAACCTCATCTTTTATAAACCCATCCATTGACA